CTTTATGGTCCTACAAACCATCTTGATGTAATGATTTTGACCTTTTGTAGAAGTCCGGGTAAAGTGTTGATAATTATTCAAATTCAAATTAGTTTAAAAAGCATCATCACCTTAATGATCAATAAGGCTTAAAGTTTCATATCCAAGAAACTACCGGACGTTATTGTTCCTTTAGGGGACTCATTTAATTATATTATTGCTATTTGGTAGTATCAGTGTATGGTGACAGATTACACTGGAAATAAGAGGGTTCGTTTTTATTTTTATTACAATATTTTTATCTTTACTATTATTTTTTTGGCTTCGAAGACATTGATTTCGAAATTTGTACTATTACATAAATAAGAATTTGCATATCATTTCTATAAATGAGTGGAGTAGCAAGTTCTGGAGTTGCTGGAACTGCAGGTGGGGGGTTGCAAAAGGAGATACAGCAAGTTACGGCTTTATTGGAAAATTTGAAAGTTTCAGAATTAAAAACGATATGTAGGGCTATTCAATTAACAATATCTGGGAGAAAAGCAGAGTTACAGGATAGAATAAAGGATTATTTGAAAAGTTCGATGGCCATAGGCCGAATAGATCCTTGGAGACCCAAAGCTGTTAAGGTTCTTATAGAAAAGGCGAAAGCCGGTGACCCACTCCCCCAATATGATATGGTATGGCAAGCAATGAAGACAGGTGCATATATTCACCCAGTAGCAACAGGGCACCAACCTGTAAGCACATTACAACAAAGAAATAGAACTAATGTAACAAGTACATCAAGAGCAAATCTTGTTAATGGGAAGTTCAAACCGCCCCCGATTGATGTAGATAAAATTGAATCTTTGCATTTCAAGGAATCTGTTTTTTATAAATTAAAGAAAGCCATACCAGAGAGTCGCATGAAAATCAAGGTCACTCATGTCAGAATGGTAGCAACAGCTAAATTTAGGATATCAAAAGCTGATTACGATTTATTTCAATCAAATAAAAATTTTAAGTTATATCTTTTCAGTGGGATACTAAGCAGTTTTGGTTCACCAGGTAACGAACCTATTCAATTCCCATATCCAACTGAAATTAAGTTCAACGATGAGAAAATAAAGGATAATGTAAGAGGTTTAAAGAACAAGATCGGTACTGCAAACCCAGCAGACTTGACAGCTAATATAAAGGGACCGTTTGAACAAAATAATTTGGAAGTTATCTATGCTTCAAATTCCAGTATATTTCTAATGTGTTGTTATATAGTCGAAGAAGTGGAACCAGAACAAGTGCTTCAAATTGTGCTAAAGAGTCCTAGGATCATTAAAGCTGCAACTTTGCATTATATCAAACAAACTATTTCGACAGATGATGATGATGACTTAATAACGACATCTACTGTGATGAGTTTACAATGCCCAGTATCGTATACTAGAATGAAATATCCAGCAAAAAGCATCAACTGTAATCACTTACAGTGCTTTGATGCTTTATGGTATCTCCACTCTCAAAGGCAGATACCTACATGGCAGTGCCCTGTATGCCAAATTTCTCTAAGTATTGAAACATTGGCTATCTGCGAGTATGTAGATGAAATCTTAAAAAGTTGTTCGGAAGATGTTGAGCAGGTGGAACTTGCAGCAGATGGTAGCTGGACACCATTAGACGAAGATGGAAACCATATTGGGAAAGCTATAAATACTAAAACCGAACTTAAAAAAACTGAGAATACAATCATTAAGCAAGAAAATTCTAATGAAATTGCAAGTTCCTTAGGAAAGGAAAGTTCTGTCTCATCTCAGACTCACTCTAACCAACCTGAGCCTACTATAATCTCATTAGATAGTGAAGATGAAAGTGAAGCAAGGAATGACAATACCATGATCAATACGGCTACTAGTGAGGAGGCAACTTCCGAAGTTCCTCCTAGAGAAAATGTTAGTAAGTCTTCAGTGAATAAAGAACATAACGAAGATGACGATGATGATGATGACAGAGCGTTGACAATGTTTTTATCAAGAATACCCCCCGTCATACCACCTTCGCCATCTGAAAGTAATACATCAACCATTGATGTGACAAATAACGTAAGTAGTGGGATTGAAAATGCATCTCTGAATCAAGTATCAAGAGAGGTAGCTACAAGAAATGATGATTCTAGTATTCGTACTGAAATTAGTCAGTCCACTGCAAATACTGGTATCGCAACAGCGGAATCATCCCTAAATACTGCTACTCCTACCGATATTTCATCCGTAGCTTCGGGGAATCCTACATTATCGCCATCGGTTTCTATTTCAGGTTCTGCATTACCTTCAATTTTCCGTAATTCATCACAAGTCCCAAGAACATCTGGTAATAATAATAGCACTGATAAAAATAAAGTACCAGGTGTTCAACTTCCAAGCATTCCTAGCCAGGTGAATAATGAGATTGAAGTTGCTGGAAATTCATTACTTGGATTGTCGGGAAGCATAAATTTTTCAGCTCCTTCTTTGGAAAGAACTAGTCCAGTTCAGAGTAGTGTTAATTCTAATAATATACTTGGTATATCAGGTGAGATACCTTCCTTTAATTCTAACAGTGCAACCAATACTTCTAAAGCAGTAGAAGTCACAAATAACAGACAAAATAGTGTGGATACTTCACATAACAATCCTACGTTTAGAGATGCTCCAGTTCCTCCAGGTAGAAATAGAAAAACGACGGTATCTCCATTTATACCTAAGAAACCTTATCTTAACATTCTACCCCAGAAGAGACATAATGTTGAGGGTACTGATAATTTGCCTGCCTCTCCGACGAGTAGACTTAGGTCAACTTCACCACAAGGACAAATTCCTCGGTTATCAGGAACTATGGCAGGCAACCTTGGGGTTTCAATGGATGAATCGGTTGGAAATAGGGAATCTATTTCCTTACCAAGGTCGAATAATATTGATGATTTAGATATAATAGATTTGACATCTGACGATTAATAATTTATTATTATACTTGCATGTTTTTTTTTTTTTTTTTTGAGGAATAAATAACTATTTAATTCATATGTATATATTATACTGTATATGAATAATACAAAATATCGAATCCTTCAACAAATGATAAACTAATATTACAAATTAATCTGTATAATTGTCTATAATATCACCTATGTTCATAAAACAATATCAATTAATCCATGAAAGGGATTCTAACAGGTACATGCTTCTTAAAGTTAACGTACTTAATTCCAAAGAACTTAATTAAATATTGTTCTTCAAATTTAATTCTAGCAGAAAAGAATCTCCACAGCACGATTGCAAATAGAATGAAAGAAATTGGGTTTAGGACTAGCATTTGGGTACCCAATGCCCACCAGAAGAAACCGAAATAACTTGGATGTCTAGAAAATCCATAAATTCCGCCAGTAACTAATTTATGATCGGCATTTTTTTCAGTTTTAATAACATGAGAGAATGATTGACCAGCAGTATACATGGCAATAGTTCTTGTAGCCTGACCCATGATAACACAAATGGCACCAACAACGACAATTATTCTATGAACCATTGAATAAGAAAATGACTTCCAATTAGGGAAAACAATTAGTTCGATAATACATTCTAAAATAGCAACACTATGAGCAGCAATATAACTGAACCCATTGTTTATTATAAAAGATTCACTGTGACATTTACCTGGATTGTATTTAGCAGTAATATAAAATTCAGTAAAATGAAATACTGATAGTGCAACTAAATAAAGGTTGAAATTCTTAAAACCGACTAATGGTAAAATACCAACACTAAATCCTAAAAGAATACCTAAGATATATGCAGTTGAAGAAATTTCATCTAAAGGATTCTTGGTAATATCTGGATAAGCTTTACCTTCAATGATTATTGGTAGGTCTTCATTTTTAGTTTCTTCTTGATTTGACATGATTTAGTATACTAAACCCTTCGTATAGATTTTTTACGATGCTTAATTGCTGTTATAAAAAAAATATTACAAAATATAACAGGAATTGCGATACACCTACAGTATATCCTTCAATGGAAATCATACCCATTATATAATGTTACAATGTAGATTTTTTCATCCAATCCATTCTGTTTGATGTAAATGTTAATGCTTGTATTCTCATGATATTATTATGTTCTAATAGTACTGTTTCATAAGTTTCGAAGAAAATTACCGAATACGGCAATTACCAACGTAATTGGTTTCGAAAAAGGACGAAGAATGTTATAAAAAATGTGTCTTTAATAAATTGAAAATACTACAAAACTAGGTGAATAACAAACAAGTTGTATAGCTTAATTATTAAGCTACGCTACTTTTATATTATTGGACAGGTACCATCTATTGAAGTTGACGTGTAAGTCAACTTAAACAAATAATAATCTAGTTTTAAAAAGAAATGATTTTTCTTTGAAGATATATTGATATTGGCAATAATATTTATATCTATATATTAAATGAGGTAAGATAAGTGATCCCTTGATCGGATATCTTGTAAATGAATATTATTTAATTGTGGAAAATAAGTTAAGATTGGATTGTAGCGGTTAGGGTAGGGGAACTCTCTTCTTTTTATTTTATTTCTGTTTTGTTTTGTTGTGTTGTCGTTGATTTGTCTGATTTGATCTGATCACAATTTGGCAGACAAAGATTCTTGTGGAGCAGAAGTTGCTTCAAGAACTTCCATTATTTCATCAGCAGCTTGGTTTAAGTAATGATGCATCTTGTTTACATCAAAACCGCTCTTAGCTGGTTTTGTACAAATGTTGATATGTAACCAATCTTTGTTAATCATATAGGCTAAACCGAAACCGTTGTCATTGACTTGAGACCACCCATAACCATCAAAGTGTTCTGAAGATAATTGGGAAGTTGAAATTAACCATGTTGAAGAATAATTGAATAAAGGATCCTTGAATAATTCTGGGACTTCGTCAGTTTCCTTATTGACCATGTTCTTCAAACCGTAGAAATGACGATCGATAGCTTGACCATTTGAAGCCATACCTAAGTAGGTTGCATGCGCCTTGGCAGATCTTCTCAAATACTCAACTTTTTCTTCCAAAGATACTTTGTCATCTTGCCATTTTCTAACAAAATCAAAAGATTCCATTGAAACAGATCTACCAGTTTCAGTACGACCCTTAAAGAACTTTCTAGTAGAAGCTGCTTCATAAGTAGGTAATTGTTTACCGAAGTATTTAAATACAGCTAATTGAATAATTTGGTGGATAAATGCATCTGGTGACATCTTGTGCTTCTTGATTAAATTCTTACCATATTTGTTATAATGCCAAACTTTTACATCATGTTCCTTCATTAAATTTGTAAAAACTGTTGTTGCAGTCTTAATGGTTTGATTGATTTCTGGAGTTATTAGGAATTCTAGTTTTTCTGGTTTTGCAACTTCTACGGATGTTTCATTGTTTAGAACTTCAGCAACAAATTCATTTGGATTCAATTTCAACATTTCTTGGCACATATAATTGTTCAAAAATAAATTTGGGGTACCATCCATCTTTGAATGTTCACCTAAGAAACCAGAAGAGCCATTAGCAGTAACAAAGAATTGCAATGGTTTATCAAAGAATCTGTTAGTACCGTCACCATACCATGAGTTTCTTGCCTTTTCTTCCAAAGTGATAGTTGTTGTGTCAGCATCTAAACATAACATGAAGGATGCCTTGTGGATGGTTTCCAATGCTTCTTTTGATTCTGGATTTTGAATCAACTTTGAATAAGTTTCTCTCCATTGGTCTCTTGGCAAAGTAGTTAAAATACCGATTCCATTGGTGTTCAAAGGTGCTCTCTTTGAAGTAATAATGTTGTACAATTGCTTGTAAATTTGGTTTGGTGAGTAAGGTTTTAAAGTTTCTTGATCATGGGTTAAAACTTTGTAGAAATTATTCTTGTAAGCTACAACAATGAAGTTGTTTTCATAAATAGAATAAAATATATTTGTGTCAGTGTTATTTTCAAGATCAGGAGCTCTTGAATTGTTAAACATAAGATTGAAAGAATTCATACAAAATGGAGTACCTTTAATGACTTCTGGAGGAATGGCTTCAATCTTCAAAGCTTCAATGAACTTGACAATAATTGAAATAATAGCAGTTGATTTCATTAGATAATCATTACCAATTTTTGAATGAGAAACTGGTAAATCTTTATGAGAGAAAAAATATGAAACGTAAGGTACAACAGGATCGTTATATTCCAAATAAACTTCATTATCCCAAAATTTTTGTAACCAATTTCTGTTCAAACAATGATTTTTATTTAAATTATTTTCATTTTTCTGATATTGAATTAATCTTTGTTGTAAAATTGGACCTAAATTATTTTTCAAATCATTACATTTTAAAACTTGTTCGTTATATAAATTTGGATTATTATAACAATAAGGTTTGATAGATTTTAAATAAGTTTCAATGGTTTGATTTAACTCTGGGATTGGTAAATCAGGTAATTTACTCTGATTTTGGAAAGTTAAACCTTTAAAATTTGAAGAATATTGATTTCCTTGATAATAAGCATTTTCATGTTCTGCAATATAAAATTCGTTATTACCAGAATCAAATTCAAAAGAATTTTGTTTGGAAGAATTTTTTTGCTTTAAAATACGATTTGACATTAGTAATCTTTTTTGAATTAGACCTGGCTGCAATGAAGTTTTAACTATAGAATAAGAAGCTTGTGATTTAATCATGATTTCTATATTTCTATAGTAGGAAAATTAATTCACGATTATCCCTAAAGATATATATGTTATTAAAAGATAATTACTAATTAGAAGATAGAATTTAAAAAGTTAGGCAATAATTACAAGGTAAAGAAAGTCTTCATAACTTCAAAAACATCAGGTTTAAATACGTCTAAGTTTTTAACAATATTTTTTATTTTCATTTCATCACACTCTTAATCTTGTTTCTAGATTCTTACTTGATTGGAAGTAATCTGATTCGTCTCTTAGATAACTTGGCTGAGGTGATCTTTATTGATGTTGCGGATTGCTGAAAACAATACCTGTTTTAAGGGATCGATGACGATGGATGGTGATGATCCTTTCCAGTTGAATGAATGAGTTACCGACTAACTAACGAGAACTGGATGGGTTGGGCATATGAAATTATCCTCAGAGATGGACGCAAGTCGAATTAAATCCGAAAATGAGAAATCTTCCCGTCTGGAAAACAAGATGATGATGCTTAAAGATGTTTTTTGTGAGGAAGTGGTTCGTTGATGGTGATCGTAAGGGGTGGGTATTCCGGGGGAGGTCGAGGAAGCGGGGATACATGAAAGCGTGATCTGAGAGAAACGTTGTGGGCAACAACGAGGAAGAAAGTGAAAGGGAAAAGGGAAGAAGAAAGGGGGAACAAGAATGAAATAAAAAGAAAAGCAATACACAAAAACAAAAATAAAGATAAAAATTAAAAAGAAAAAAAAATCAAATCTAGTCATTACAAATTGTGAATGACTTTCTGTAGGGCTAAAGAATTATATATTTTTTATTTTTTTTGCTTGCTTTCTGTCACCGGTTTTATAGTACGTTTCGGAAGTAGTGCTATTCCTTTTTCTTAATTTATTCTATTTCCAACTATTGAACAGGCTTCCGGGTCAGTGGAGACAGATAATGTGTGTGTGAGTGTGGAGAAAGATTGGATTCGGAGTTAATGGTTGGCGGCAAGGCGGAAAGATGTGTAATACAGATACGGAATTTATTTGTTTGTTTTCTGTGCCTGTCAGAAACTGACACTATTTAATGGGAAAGAAGAAAAAGAAAAGGGAGCGGTGTTTCGGAGAAAATAAATGTGAACTTTAGTTATGGTACAGGAATCCCACTAGATTTGTCTCCGGAGATAGTTGAACAAGAATAAAAATGATCTCATCAAAATTTATTTCAATCTGGTATTCTGGTTTGACACATCGGTGTCATTCTACCTGTTTTATGACATTTTCCCCCGCTTTTGGAATTTAACTTAGTTGGCTGGAAATTTGTTAGATTGCCGCCGATCGGTGACAATCGAAGAAGAATTAGGAAATAAACAATCCTTACCGAAATCAATATTGAAATTTCCTTTTCTTATTTGTTATAGTCCGATAGCGATGGATTATACTGGTATTGCTTAAATGGAGTCACAGACAGAGACGCAAAGTAAATGTTCACCGGTTTTAAACAAAAACCGGATTTTCAATTGTGTATCTTGAAATGTCTGGTTACTTGAACGGTCATGGCAATGGCGATAACAACGTGACCTGGAAACATTATCGGTATCTCTCTGTGTAGCAGGAATTGATAACTGATCAATTCGTATTAGTAAACAGATTCTTATATTGTTAATACATTTATGATGACGGGGATAATAGTTTATTATTGTGTATATACATACATCTTTTTGTTAATGCCATCATGTGAATTAACTTGAATTAAGATAGAAAGATGGTTGAATATCAGGTAGACCCACGTGTTTGCATTGTTTTACATTCTACATATATACTTAAAGTTTGTGTCAATTTGTTGGGTTTTTGTGTCTTCTTTACTTTCTTACTTGTTTGTTTGTTTAGTTTGTTTGCTTTTTTGTGGTTGTCATAACACCAGATCAAGAATATGTGATAGATAACATTTTTGGTCCAAATGAGAGAATTCCAAAACTATATAAGCAAAAAAGATTTCTTGTTCAATGCTTGAACTCAATCTGTTCTTTCTATTACTTTTTTTATCTTACTTTATGGATATGTGTCTTTGAAGCTTTTAAAGGGTGTAAACATTGATCATTGATGTCTGTTACCCTGATTTCAACTTTCTTCGGGTCCGAATTTTGTTCAGTCCGTTTTAATGAGCGGAAAGTAAGCAAGCGTTCGTATTCTACCAGAATTAACATTTGTCTCTTCGCTCGTGCTTAACTTCTTTTTTTATATTCTTTTTTTTTTGAATGTTATCAATTTTAATCGATTCATTGTATATACTTCAATAGAATATCTAAATAGAATTATTATATTTATGTAACATTACCGCTATCTATCTTTAGATTATTCTTAGTTATATATGTTTGGTAACAGTGTATACAAAGCAGTGGATTGTGATCCATATTGAAATGAGATAATTTCAGCGCCATAGATAGAATTTAAGAATAAAGAAAGACAAACTGAAAGGCAAAGAGACTACAATTACCATATAGCACATCTGAAATTAATTATAATGAGTAGCTTCCCTTTAAATGAAGAAGATTTGGTTTTTGAATATCAGCTTTTAAAGGAACCAGGAAATTTAATTCATTGGAAAAGATATCTAGACGTATATATTCAACAATACAAAAATTTGAATTCTAATGATAGTAAATATAAAGAAGATAAACGCCTTTTATTGAGTAAAATCGTTTGGTTATACAAAAGAATTATCTCACAATTCCCAAAAGATGTTAATTCATATTTTGAATTTGTTTCATTTTTATATAATTGTTGCGATTCAAATACAAAATTACAAAGACTTATGCTACATTATATGGTAGAAACCTTAATACCAAAGTTATTGCAAAATGGAAAAAATGATAAAAAGTTACAACCTTTTTTGTTAAACTTATTAAACTGGACAATTGCTACAAAGGATTCATATTTGATTTGGAAAATGTTAGATTATTCTCTATCTTTAAATTCACAGTTCCATTCAACTGTTTGGAAACCTGTATTATCATACGTTAAGGAAAATTTAAATGAAAGCATCTTGGATAATGATATGTCGTTAAAATTCTATACAAATGTCTTGAGACGTTACTTAATCGTATGTCCAAAAAATCTAGATCAGATCATATATTGGTTGGAATTAATTTATAAAACAAAGGATTTTGAAATTATTAAAGAAGTTTATGATCAATATTTACATTTTGACAATTATAATATGTTGAAAAGAAAGATTTCTTCTTTACCTTTTCAACTTTTAGAAAATTATATGTATACCCTACATGAATTATCATTGGACGACCAATATCTTTCCATGTTAGAAAACTTAACGAGGGATTACTCGGCGGATGATGAACATTACTTTGAAATTGTCGAATTGTTATCTAATCAATATATAAAATTGTCAAATATGAAAAAATTTAACGACCTACTACGGTCACAATTAAAGACAGCTAAATCTTTACAATACTGGATCAAGATTTATAACTTATACTTAACCCTTTTGCAAAATTGGTTAAACGATATACTTACAATTGAATCTAGAACTGACTCTAATGATAACATAAATGAGAACATTGAAATTTATAAAAACCTTATTATTCATAAGGATCTGATGTTATCCGATTTTAAAATAAGTCAAAATCCGAATTTAATTGATAATTGGTTCCAAAAAATCAATTCAATTGATAAACTATCAGGAATTAGTTCAATTGAAAAGTTAACCATGAAGTTTGAAGTATATGCTAATGCAATTGAAACTATAAATGAAAGTTTTACTTCCCTGATGCCTGGTGATTTAGGCAAATTGTGGTGCAATTATGCTAATCTATATTGGGAAAATAATGATTTTGATTCAGCAAGAACTGTTTATAATACCGCAATCAAAGTTCCTTTCCCATTCTTAAAAGATTTGGAAGATATTTGGTTGAATTGGTCAGAGAATGAATTCTCATTAAGTAATGGCGATCCATCTCTTTCAATAAAGATACTAGAGCGTGCCCTTAGCGTAGAAGGAAATCCAGAGTTACTATTTGAAAAATTTAAGGAAAATAAGTCATTAAATCATGACAAAAAATCTCTAATACCGTCACAGACTGTTTTGTTTACTTCACTAAAACTTTGGTCATTTTATTTGGATCTTTTAGAATCTTTATACATTGATGGGTGTGATTCTAAAACAATTGAGTCGATAATAAAAGCATACGAGAGATCGATAACACTAAAAGCTGCTACACCATTGACTTTTATCAACTATGCTCATTTTTTACAAAAAGTTAATAAGATAATGGAAAGCTTTCAAGTCTATCAAAGGGCCTTAAGTTCTTTCCCTCCAAGTACCCAGTATTTTATTTGGTCTACATATTTAAATGAAGTGATAGAGCAAACTACAGAATTATCAAATGAGCATGTCCGTGAGTTATTTGATCAATCGTTGTCTACATTAAAGACAAACAATATCAATTGTACCACAATAGTATGTATGTATAGCAATTTTGAGGAGACAAAAATGCATATGTATAAAAGGAGTGTTGATATAATTTTCAATACATTAAATGAATGCGATTCCTCGACATCACCTTTCTCATTAGAATTGAAAGATAAGATTTCTCTATGGGATTTGGCTATTGAAAAGACTAGAAAACTATTAGGTACAATGTCCTTAAGACCTATTTATGAAAAATGTATCCTATCTTTACCAAATTCGAGGGTTATCCCATATATTATTAATTTTTGTAAAGTTGAAGAGGAATTGAATGAAATTTATCGTGCCAGAGAAATATTAACATTTGGATCAAAGCTATTACCGCCAAGCAAAAATGAAGACTTATGGAATTATTGGGATAAATTTGAATTGAATCATGGTGATAAATCAACTTATAAAGAAATGTTAAAACTGAAGAAAACTTTGGAAGACGAAATGGTTATAGATACAGAAGAAATAACAAAGGATGAAGATAAAGTTCAATTCATTCAATCTTCAACTAAACCGATTAAAGATCGTGATGAAAAATTAAATCCTGATGAGTTGGAATTAGATTTATAATAGTTAAGAAGTCATTTATTTATTTTTACAACAAAGAAGATTACCTATCTTGGATCATAAATTTAACTTGAGTACAAACATAGAAAAATCAATTATTGCAATAATAATAACAATAACAATTATAATTACTTGCATAATGTCAATCCCGTTGTTTTATATAATTAAGAGTGATTCCTAACTGTAGAATAATAGATAACCATATATTAATTTGCTTTTATTGCTTATAGTGGGTTTTATATTATAGTGATTTTACCTGGCTACGCTTCTCGGGAACAATAAATTGACGTTTAAGATATTTTTCATCAAATATTGAAAAAGAGATGAAGGGTTCTGAAATATTCGAACTTATAGTTAAAAACATAGAGGCATGAGGTACAATTGTTTAGTTAGGTTAAGCTGCTTACTTTCAATCAATTGGTAGCTCGTTGAGGGGAGAAAATGATTGAAAATAAGTTGGCAGATCTTGATCTTGGATCAAGTGATAACTATTGCAAACTTGACAAGAATTTGGAAATGCTAGCAAAAGATTCTAGTTCAAAAAAATTCATTGACGTAACTGATGTGTTCAAGAAGTTGGGTAGTAAACTAAATCCAGATGTAATAATCAAAAGTCCGAATTTTGATCTTTTTGAGGGTACACGTTCATTAGAAGTTAGTAATCCCAAACTTGATTCTAGCTTGATTCAGCTGAGTAAAGAAGAAATCGATTTTAATTGTGATCTAATTTGTGGAAATGACAACTTCATAGAGCAATTACAAAATGTCACTGCTATATCAGATCGATTGTTAAGGTCTATCATATGTTGGTTAAACGAATATCAAACTTTACCAACAACCGTACTATCGTGCCGATATGTTGAGCATATTTTAAAGTTATCCGCTATCAATAAGAAGATGACCTCATTACAAACAGGAAATGATTTATATGATAGAGTTTTGAGTTCAATGGTATTTGGAGTATGTTATTTTGGAAAGTTTGTGCAACAATTATTGGTGGCGGGTGTCATTTTGGAAGAGGAAGATTTGAATTTTAATGGAATGAATCTAGATTTCTTTTCATACATTGAGTCATCCGATGAAGTTCTGAAATTGATCGATGATGGTATAGCATATCTAAACTCTGTTAAATCTGGTGGTGTAGATTTTCTGTTACATATTTTGGAAATTGTAAAATCATTGGTTCGTATAGAAGAAACTATTACTAAGTATTCTACGGAAACTGATTACTTGGATTATTTAATCAAACATTCAGAAATATTAAATGATTTAGGACCATATAGCCATGAGCCACCTCTTGGTTCATTCTCCATGGGTATCCAAAAAAGAATGGAAAATCAGTTTCCCCCAAAATCTTTAGTAATTCCATCCCATAATTACTTAGGTCTTAAGGTTATGGCCAACGATGTGAAAAAAGTTTTATCTGTTGCAGAATGTAGAACAGCGTTAGAGACTCTTCAATTTGCGAGATTTTTCAATCATTTAACCCAGAAGCATGTAATATCAAGAGCTATCTTCTCTTTATTTTTTATTAGGGATGATCAGACAATTTTGGGTAAGTATTCCTTGGATGAGTTTATGGATATGCATTTAAATGAAGTAACCATGGCGGGAACAAACTCTAGTAGACTATGCTTGGATGGTGATAGTTATCTACTTTTGGAACCTGTATATCAAGAGGCAATTAGAGTTGCTCTAGATTATTACCAAAATAAGGCACAAAACACATGCAGAGTAAGACAAGGATATAATAGACATTTAATATTGTGGGATTCTTTACAGGCTCAAATGGAAAATGTTGAGATTGAGTTGGAATCAATTGGTATTGTAAATAAAGCTGATGAAGAACAAGAAAGCACATTTTTACCATATTCATCGTGGATATATGTTAATAAAGTGACAATAATGCTGGATTTTATTCTAAAAGGATTTGATTTGGGAGTTTACAAACCGTTTGAAGCTTTTGCAATGTATTGGTATGGATATTATCTAACCCATAAACAGGAGTTTTGTTTGAAGACTATCTTACAATTTTTGGATTCTAGGATTAACTCAATTCATGCCATTAATAAAAGAGTCAAGAAGCAAAAATCTGCTGAGAAAAAGGAGGCATTAAGAGCTAAGTACAAACACGCAATGTCAAATGAAATGCCCCAATTACAGACAAACAAACGTTATATAAATTATCTACTATTAAAAAGTTCGATAGAAAAATCATTATGTCTGGTACAGGTGTTCCAATTTGCAATATTGAAATCATATGGAATAATTGACTATAAAACCCCATCAGAATCCACATTTATTAATGATGAATTGATTCACGATTTAAGAATGAAACCATTTTCATCAATCGGAGTTCCAGAATTACCAACATATAAAGAATTTAATAACGCACTACAAGATTTTTCAATACAAGAACCAATGTTTTCTTCAAAATTAAACAAGTCAATGGAATATATGAAAAAGGAACTCTCCTCTGTAGCTGAGGCTGTTGAACAGATTAAGAAATGTATTTCTACAGGTGACAATAACGGCTCCATCGTAACTGGCACTAGATTAGTTAAAGAGGAATCATTTCAAGTATATGAACAATTAGGTAACACTACAAAAGCATTACAAGTTAATAGTGAAATAATAAGAAAAAAACTGGGAGAAAAACCACAATCAAACTTAATTGAAAAATACCTGGTTGATACTACATTCCCTCCAAATGCATCTACATTTTTCCCTCTGTTCTCACTGGTAAACATACAACCTTCTAAAAATTAGAAATAACTGAACCCTTTACCTAGTACATATATTACTTAGCATATCCAATGTAGATAAAATTGTAAATATGTAACATCAAAGTAAATGAATCTTTTCATGTAATTAAATCACCGCCATATTGTTTATTCCTTAATAGACTAGTTATTCAGAATTTGTCATTTAAGATGTTCCTATTGCTGGCATTGATCAGTTTGTGACGTTTTTATAAGTAGCACAATCATTTTTAACAACATCTAGAATTCAAGTGACTTCAAATATCTATAACATCCGTACATTATTGTGGTTTGGGGTACGGATGTTGGTGAAAGTTCCGTGTTCTTAGTTTTATTTTTTGCCCAGAAAGCGTCAATATAGTGTGAAAAATTCAAATGCTAGAAAAAAAAATAACACAAGAAGTGCAATTTAGATAGGTATAGAGAGTGTTTACTTTAAGAAATATGTATTGTTCTTACCCTTATGGATAATGGAGTGGCTCAATCAACACTTTGGGAAGTTCAGTGGGCGGAAGAATACGTAAAGCCACCTTGAAATGCAGCAATGAAATTGCTGCATTTATATGATTCTATATACCAATCCTTAATACTTGTCTAACTTTGTATATTGTAACTTCCAAATTATCTTATAATGCGTTCGATATCTTTCAAAGTCGCGCCTTCTACGCTTGTTTTATACAGCGCGTCGTCCGGCGTATAGTAAATCGAGGAAAAAAGAGAGAGACGATTCCAGTATATCCCGCGTAGAAACCACTTTTAGATGGGGTAGACCAAAAAAAGTTCCTTCCAGCTTGTTTAAATTTCCCTCTAGAGCGATTGAACTTTCCTTCTAGGTCTAGAAGGACTGAAACTTTGTCTCTGCCTAAACACAATTTCCTTCTAGACAGAAGTTCTTTCTATTTTGAAATTGTTTCTGGTTTGGCCAAAGTTGATGAATTTTTGTCAATTGATGATTATTGGAAAATTAACAAACTTTCAATGAGGTAGAGGTTAGTTTAGTAAGTTAGGTCTTTTAGTCTAATTGATGGAAGGCAATAGGTATCAAGGTTGGTTAGTTGTTGTTTGGCACAGGTTTGTAACAAACAGCCTAACAATTATTATTATTGACAATGTTGAAAGCTATAATTGATCAAGTTATAAGGTATATGGTATAAATGTATATATTGTTTAAGACGTGTTAGTTCTATATTTACTTTATAAAGGTTTAAGAAGACGTGCCCAAACGAATATATAAGACAATATGCCTCCAAAGTTGATCCAAATGAAGTT